CTGATGCCTAGCGACTCCTCCACGTCTCGCCTGATGGGCGATGGTGGTGGTCTCTGTCTTGACGGAGCCGGCCCTGCTGACTGAGCTTTGTCTTGGCGTCGCTGTGCGTTCGCATCCATGCTTGCTGCACCGTCGCCCCCAGCTGGAGCTGCGCCGTCGCCCCCAGCTGGAGCTGCTGTCTGACTTGGGGCTGCCGCTGCTGCAGCACCACCTTGTGGCTCCGGGTGCACCTGAGCTCTCGGCTCGGAACCACAAGTGGCACAGCCTGCGGCGCCTTGGGTATCTTCTTCCGTCTTCCCATCGGTCTGCCTGCGAACCTATCCCACGGCGTGCCGTTGATGGCCTTGATGAGGTCTGCTCGGTTCTGCTCTGAGACTGGCGCCCTCTTGACCGTCCTGGTGGTGAACACGCCCTCGCTGGTCCCGAACAGGTGCTCGTCCGACTCGATCGTCTTGCCCGGCCAGATCCCTCTCGAACCTGGCGTCAGCTCGTCCTTGTCAAACTCCACCTCGTATTTTGCCCGTCGCCGTGACCGATAACTTGAAGAGCGCCGCTTCTCCGAATTTCAGAACTTCTCCCTGGTGCGCTTTGCCGTCGCTGTCCTCGCACGCTGTTCTGCGGTTCGCCTTCACGCGATACCTTTCGAGCACCCAGCCAGCATGCCTCACTATCCAGGGCCAGGTGTCCATGGAGGGGTCGATCTGCATGCCTAACCGCGCTTCCATGTCCAGCCTCATCGCCCTTATCTGGCCCTCAGCTGATTGCTGAGCTCTGCCCACAGCTCCCACGCTCTGGCTGCTGAACCTCGGCGTCTTCTTGATCTCGAGCTTGATCCCGTCGGTCAGACACTTCTGCCTCACCTTCTCTGCGATCACTCCCAGCGCCTGCTCAGGGTCCACTTTGAGCATCGCCTTCGGGTAGGCCATCCGCTTGACGAAGGACGTGCAGGTTGATGAGATGTACTTCGTCTCGCCGGACTTCGTCGGGACTGCTATCACCATGGGGTTCTGCGCTGCCGTATCCACCAATACCAGCATCGTCGCCCAGGCCTGGTCTCCAGGGTTGTGCCTCCTCTTCGGGTCCTGCAGCAGGTAGCAGAAGTCCATCTCGAACTCTGGTAGCTTCTTCGTCTCCCCTGGCCTCTGCTCGCGCGGCTTGGCCCTGCCCTTGCCCATGACGCACCACGCGCACCGCGGCTGATAAGGCAGGTGCGTGACCTCGTGTCGTGCTCGCTCTTCTGGTGTCGGTTCAGCTGGAGCTCGTGGTACGCTGACTTCGCCCTGGCCTCCAGCTTCTGCCAGCCCCCTCGCGCGCTCCTCGAGCCACTTCTCGCCCCTGATCTGCAACTCGAGCTTCGCCTCCGCGCGCACCAAGCGCCCCCACAGCTGCTGCTTGTTACCCCAGATCGGGGCCTTGAGCTCCTTCAGCCTCCTCCGCACGTCGTCCACCGAGCTGCCGCTGAAGAGCCCGCCTTGACCAAGTGGCTCGCCGCGCTGTCGAAACTCGAGCCATTGCTGAGCTAGCTGTTCTGCTTCTCGTTCCATTCGAGCGCTTTCTGATGCACCTGGGTCTGGCGCTTGAGGTGCTCCTGCGACTGCCACGGGCTGCGGCGCCGCTGCTGCCGCTGAGCTCGAAGCCGCTGCTGAACTTGATGCTGCCGCGCTCCCTGGTGCCAGCTGCATCACCTCGTCCCCGACTGGCGCGATCATCACCGTCGGCTTGCTGGGCGATAGCTTCCTCTTGATTCGCGGTCCGAACGTACGCCCCTTCATGCGCACTGGAACTTTCACTCGTCCTCGGCCGGTGTCGATCTCCAGCCACGGGTCATCAATCTTGAAGTACATATCGATGCCGTTCCTCGCGAGCTTGCCGACGCTCCGGAGCGCTCTCTTCGCATCGCTCTGCACGAACGGCGTCTTGGCGTTGAGTATCGCGTGGCCGTTGATGTCCAGCACCGCGTACTCGACAAAGATCTTCCGGCCTGACGGGATCTTGTCTCCGTTCGCGCCTCGAAGCCGAACTCCACCAGGTCCGGCATCAACTCCATCTTCGGCGAAGTCTCACGGGCAGGCGCGCTCCTCGCAAGCGCTATCCAAGGGAAGAAACTCGTCACCTGCCTGGTCGAGGCCTTCTCTCCACACATTGAACGCCCACTTGTCGCAATCGTCGCTTTGGTCGCCGTCCTCTTGGTCGTCGTAGCTCTGAACCTCTGGCGACTCAATCTGCAGTTCTCAGCTCTGCGCCCAGGCCGCCCGCAGATGAAGCAACCACCTTTGCCTTTGCCACTGCTACCTTTGCCGCGATCCTCTCCGCCACTTTTCCAGCTGTTGTAAGCTGCGTCGACGCCCATCGGTGCAGGTCCCATCTGGTCATCGACTCCAACACTCCTGCCGTTCCTGTTGAAGGTCCTGCCGAACTGGAGGTACTCTCGGATGCTTTGCTGCACTTCCTTATAGCGTCCGTTCGCTGGCCATGTCGCCAGTCTCACCATTGCTCGAACTGATTCTGGAGCATCGCTTGCCAACACTGCGATCTTCATCGCGTCGCTGACCGTCTCGGTGCTTTCCGTCTCGTACTCTGTGATGCGGGTCTCCCATTCTGTCAGTCAGTTCGTTCGTGAACTCCTGGCTTGTCGCTTTCTGGTCCCAGCCTGGCTGCAAGATCCCCATCAGCAGTGCGGCGTGTCTCCCTCCGACGTCTGGCGCGTACTCGGTTTTGCTCCTCTTCCACGCGATGATGTCATTGTACTTCTCCGCGCCCCTCACCAGCGTCAGTGCTTTGCCCCTGACTGTGGTGACCAGCACGAAGTAGAGCTGCTTGGCTCTCTGCTGCTGTTCTGGACTGAACACGCTGAACTTCAGGTCTGTCAGGTCTCTCGATGCTGCGTCGAGGGTGTCCTCTAGATTTGTCATTCCGCACACGCTCTCGAAGATGAAGGACCACGCCTGCCAGGCTTCGTCTCTGCCGTTGAAGATCGGGCACTTGTTCAGCACTCGCGGGTCGATGTGCTGCTCCTGCCCGCCGTCGATCCAAGCTGCTCTCTGCGGTCCAGCTCCTGGGTGCCGCGGGCCGTGCTGCTCGCTCTCCGTCGAGCTGCTGGCGCACCTCCTGGAGTGCCTGGGCCAGCTGCTCGAGCGTCGCCATTCCGTCCGTGGATCGAAATCTAGCTCCGCGTAACCATGTTACGATCTACATTAGCTCCTGATGTGATGCTTGTCACCTCAACCCCTCGAGCCGAAGGCTATCGAACACAACATGTCATGCTATGCTCGCCTACGCCTTGCCTGACCTATAAAACACCAACAGACTCCGAAAAGCCCCCGAGGGGCCTCCCACGAGATCCTAACGAATATCCACTAGACAACCCGGGCACGGTGGCAGGAATTGCAGCAAGCAGCTGGATAAACTCAGAAGGCTGAAACCTCCAAAATCTTCACCAAAACCATTAGTAGCGCAGGACTTCCCCCAAGCAAGCGTTGAGGAAGAGATGGCGGAGGACGGAGGACGCGGAGGCTGATGAGTTTTGTATAAGCGCAACTAGAACGCAAGATACTAAAAACATCTCGGCGAAGTCATGTGCCCAACAACTGTTGCTGAGTTTACGCATTATGTGAAATCTGGATGTGTCACTATTACTCCCTGGATGTACACTCCCCGTCCGCTGATGCTGCTGCTAGTGCTAGTGCTGCTCGTGCTCCTGTCGGTGCTGCGACTGCTGCTGGTGCTGGTGCTGCTAGTGGTGGTGCTGCTGCTGATTATGCTGGTGCTGCTGCTGCTGCTGCTGCTGCTGCTGCTGCTGGTGCTCGTGATCCTGATGCTGTTCGTGCTCCTGGTGGTGGCCGTTAGCAGCTTGACTCAAGCAAGGCAAAACGGTGTCCACGTTCGTGCCCGTTGGATAATATGATGGTTCTGAGATGCTGCCTCTTGAAATGCAAGTTGTCTTCCCCATCGGGTTTGCGTGCACGTGGAACATGCCCGCTTTGACCCATGGGCAGACCATGCGCCAAAAGTATGTCCGAGTATGTTCGCACGAGATCGATGGCCCACTCATCCACACGAAAGGCGGTATCCCAGTAATAGACCGCATCTGGGGACACGTGCAAGAGCACGTCAACGCACGATCAACATCTGGGTCCTCCGAACCGCGTCACGACGATCGAGTGCGCTCTGCCCGTGTGAACGGAATGTTGGCAAGGATGTGTTTCTGAAGACGGGTGAGATGCTCTGGTGTGGTTGGTCGGACGAACTTGGCCGGTATAATCACGCGCATGAGCCCTGTACAAGGTAGCATTGGACTGGATCGCTGAAGAGGGGCCATGGATCGATCGTAAGGTGGGGCTTAGCACATATGTATACATATGAATATATTCATATGTAGATATATGTGCGTGACAACTCGGCATCAGCGTTCATGACACGATGTGTGTCTACTCGTGAGTTGAATGGTGCGTCCATTGCGAAGCAAAAATGTGTGTCACGCCCGCCCTACCAAACCTACTTATCATCCGAAGTGTGGTCTATGCGGTACGTGTCGCCATAACTGTTCGACACGGAGACCCAAAAATGCATGCAAATAAATCAAAATATCCATATTTCCATCGATCCATAGAGTTTCCAGTGCATTCCCCGAGGAGGTCTTGAGAATGAGAGGGTCTGGATGGGAGGGAGCGAGTCGGAACACGAGCACCTGAGTGTGAGTGAAGGTGCGTATGAGCGCCTGGGTGTGGATGAGGGTGGGGAGGGGGGGGGGGAAAGGGGAAGGAGGGGAGGGGGGGAAGTGGGGAGGGGGGAGAGGGATGAAGGGGGGGTGGAAGGGGGGGGAAGGGGGGGGGGGGGGGGAAAAGGGAGGGCAACATCGGAGGCCGGAGGAGGACTGGAGAGGGAGGGCATGGCACCCCTCGGAGACAGTAATTATCACTGCCCGAGCTCGCCCCAGCCGCGGGGGGCATCGCCAGTGTAAGGGCAGGAGACGGCGGGTGCCGCGCGCGCGGGGAGGAGTCCTTCAGCATGTAGTTCTTGTTCTCCTGCGGCCGATCAGTTTCTGTTCGGGCCCCAGCTGCCCCTCCGTCCGCCTCACCCCCCCGCCCAATAACACCCGCCCCACGAGCCGTCCCCCCTCGGCAGCCTGCAGGTGTCCATGCGTCTGCGCCTCACGGTCGTGGTGCTCCTCGTCGTCGTCCTCCGTCGCCTCCTCCTCCTCCGCCGCTTGCTCCTCCTCCTCCTCCTGCTCCTCCTCCTCCTCCTCCTGCTCCTCATCCTCCTCCTCCTCCTCCTCATCCTCCTCCTCCTCCTCCTCCTCTTCGTCCTCGTCCTCGTCCTCGTCCTCCTCCCTCTCCTCCTCTTCCTCACAAACGTATCCCCCCTCCTCTCCCATCCCCCACCCCTCTTGCCATCCTCAAACTCCTCGCCACTGCCGAAAGCTGGGTCGCACGCCCTGCCCAGGGAGCTCCACTTCGGGGGCGATCCCTCTGCCCCGACCTCCAGGCGTCGCAACCAAAATCACGACGGACGCGCCTGCACGACTCTTCATTTCCGAGGGCCGCTCGCGGGCCCCAGGGCCCTCGAACAGCTTCGCCCGCGACGAGGAACCTGCCCTCAGGAGGGGCTCGAGAGCTCCAGCTGCCCACGCCGAGAGAAGAAGCACGACGCCGGAGGTCTGGACCGGGGGCCCGAGAGTGCCCACTGCCAGCACGGCAGTCGCAGAGAGGCTTGCCGCACGCGGTGCTCCTACTTGCGTTTGCCGTCGGCAGTGGTGCGAGCGTCTTGCCCGCGTCGAGGCGGTGTGGCTTCATCCACCCACCGCCCTGGGCCCCACCAGACCCCCTCTCGCAGCTTGGGCACCTCTCCGCCAGGAGGCGCAGCCACTTGGACGAAGGAAAAACGCCATACGCATAAACTGTTGGCGCTCCGCGCGGAGTTCTTGCACGCTGGACCCTCCTCGCCAGCGCGCGGAGCGCGCCAGGGGCGGCGCCCTTATTCGCCGCCGGGGTGGCCCAGGCGCCGATCTAAGAAATCCGCGCGAAGCGCCAAAAGTTTATGTTTATGGCGTTTGTCTTCTTCGACTCTTGCAGCTTGGGCACCTCTCCGCCAGGAGGCGCTGTCACTGCTTGGGTCGAGCCGCTCAGTGAAGCAGGCACTCCGAGGCGTCGCACTCTGGTGGGCCGCTGGAGCCGAGGCTGTGCTGCGCCGTCCGCTCGCCGAGGCGCAACACCCTGCCAAAGCCCAGGGCGTCCACCTCCCGTGGGCTTGTTTTCTACCGCCACCACCAGAAGTAGGAGGGGGAAGGGGTCCTCCTCCTCCTCCTCCTCCTCCTCCTCCTCCTCCCTCCCTCCCTCCCTCCCTCCTCCCTCCCTCCACCCTCCCTCCCCTCCCTCCCTCCTCCTCCTCCTCCCTCCCTCCTCCTTTCCTCCTCCTCCTCCTCCCTCCCTTCCTCCCTCCTCCCTCCTCCCTCCTCACCTCCTCCTCCTCCTCCTCCTCCTCCTCCTCCCCACCTCCCCTCCTCCTCCCCTCCTCCCCCTCCACCTCCACCTCTTCGTCCTCCTCCTCCTCCTCCTCCTCGTCCTCCTCGTCCTCGTCCTCCTCCTTCACCCCCCTCCAACTGGTGGTGGTGGTGGTGGTGGAAAACAGGCCCAACAACCTCGTCGGCGCGGTGCGTCACGTACACGACGGCCACGTCTTTCCTGGACCCCAGCGCGCACAGCGCGTTCAGCAGCCGCTCCCGGTTGTGCCCAGACATCAAAGGAACAAATACAAGCGGAACACACAAACCTTCGGAGGTCCGCGCGGATTTCTCGGATCGGCGTGGGACCCCCTGGCGGCGCCTATGGCGCCGACCCTGGCGGCCGCCTCCCTGGCGCGCTCCGCGCGACAGGGAGGCGGGTCCGGCGCCGATCCAAGAAGTCTGCGCGGGCTTCCGAAAGTGCACGCCTGTGCCTGTGTCTCCTCCTCCGGGGACAGGCCGTGCGTCGGCTCGTCCAGCAGGAGCAGCCTGGGCCCCTTGA